GAATCTAACACGTATTCTTAGTTATAATTAGGATTAGTAGGATGGACATGGGCTTTGTTTTGATTTATCTATTGTCCATAGCTGAAATCTTTCATGGCACCTGCGACACAGGGTTTCCCCTAGTACGGGGCTATGTTGAATGTGTTATTATTATTATTATTATTGCTATGTAAATGGTTACAACACTAGTTTAGCTAGCTACACGTCATGGACAAAATCCATTTTGAAAAACTATCATATTGTTAAAAAAATAAATGTTTTCTGAATATTTTCCGCATTTCACAGTGACACCTATCAAAAGTTGATGATACTGAACTTTAATAGGAGGATTTGTGAAATAAGCCAAGCAGGGTGTAGAAATAGCAATGTTTGTACAATTTTGTAATTTTATTATATTTATTCATGCTAAATAAAATTTTAAAAGATATGTTTAAATGTAGAACATAATAGTTTATCCAATCCTTCAAAAAATTTTTCTGAGAAATTGTCGGTATTAAATTTAATCAAATTAATTCAAATTAAGGAAATTTTTCGGAAAATTACCCAACACTAAGCTAGACACCCAGTTTTCAAAATGTTCAATGGAGTTCCTATCAAAGAGTACCTCCTGGGCATTTTGTCCGTGAGATCTATTGTCTTAACTCTGTTTGAACTCGTAAAGCGATAAAACAAAGCTAGGGTCTTTGTTACTCTTGATTTGTAGCGTCAGGAAATAACGGATCAGCGAAAAAGGTCCACAAGTAACATACCTCATAAGCGCTCGCAAAAGTAAATTACTACAATTTTATTCAGAAGTAAGTATATGTATTCGAAGACACAACATAGTTACATTTGGTACAAATGTAAATAAATATACCTGTTTAAACATGGTCTGATATTACAAAGTAAATCGTAAACACTATTTATTATTTCTGTGTGAAATTCAATACCACTACTATCCTCAAATCCATCCGTGCTCAATTTCACCATTTTTGATAAATAGACAATATAGTACAATGTATTTTATTCCTAAGTTTAGTAATTTTGATTAAGATACAAACATTCAAGGAAGGGAATAATCATGTAAACTTTCACAGTAATAAATATTAATGTAAATATTCTTTTCTGCGTGGTACAATGGAAATAAGTTACAGGTAGGGAAGGATATATGTATTATATAATATTTGTAAGAGGTTATATACATATATCTACATCATTTCTATGTACGGCACAGGAAAACTTTTATGAAAATTAGACATCATTAGGTTATTATTCTAAAAACTAACACACAGCCTACAATATAAATGCAGATTGAACGAAACGTATAAAGTAGTAAACATGTGAAGTAATTACGATTTGGATATTAATAAAGAATTTTGTAAGAATTTACGATTACATTATGATCCTCTATTAGAACTAAGAAGACTATTTATTAAAAAAGGCACGTCCATAAATATAAAACACGTTTTGTTGAAATTTTTAATTAAAATGTAATGTATATTTATAGACTGATTTAATAAATTATGAAAATCAGTCGGTTATTTAGGTAGACCTAGGGTATTCTCAGAGTATTCGTAATATTCAAGAGGTCATCTCAATCACTTTAAAACTGTTTAAGTCAACTAAACTCAACAACTTTAACATTTCGAGCATTTCACAAAATAATATACTCACAAAGTCAATATTCCTTTTGTTAATCACAAAAAATATTAATAACTGCTCTCTTTTTTTAAGGATATGCACTGTAAGCATCACCTTCTTGATTATTACGCATTTACAGGACTCTTTATACACCTACCATAACGAACATACGTTACTCAAGAAAATTTACACAAGAAAGTTTTTATTGACAGAAATCTCACTTCTTATCTGATTGATGTAGAGGTTCAAGGAAAAGGTTTTTATTAAATTCCAGTTTTTTTTATGATACCAACGGACAGGTGAACAAGTCGCGCATTTGGTGTTAAGCACACGCCTGTCCATAGTAGGTATGCCGTAGACGTCTGTATCTGTATCCGCAACCGTGGATCTGATGATCTTTTTAAATATCTGCTTCCGCAGCCGACATACGAATCAATCGATGCAGAGTTTTTGTGGACACGGATTTTTGCAGGTCACGACAAGATCGTCGGGAGCAAGCCCTACTCAAAGCGCGTGTTAATACTAGTGATAAATAGCCAATCAACGATCGAGAATTCGGTAGTTTGTAGTGCAGGCAATACCTGTTTGTTTTCTGAACAAGAATTATTGAGTTTATATTCACCTACTAACTTTTTCATTCAAGATAGCTCAATTCTATTCGCATAAAGGACAGCCCACAACATCTTTAAAAACTTTCAGTAATTATAAATGTCTTAATATTTATACACCTTTCTATCATAGTTTTTGTATGAAAATTAAGAAACAAAATACAAAATTATTGACTTTGACTAAAAATTAATGATCACCGAATCCACAATGACACACACGTTCGCGGAGGCGCGCACTGATGGCTTTCCCGCTATAATGCGAAAGAAAGCCGCTTCTTTTCTTCACCGTGTGCGTCGTAGCCGGAACAGCATACTGATAACACTCGTGAACCGGTTCGATAGGCCCTTGCTATGGCATCTAATACAAAGAGTCATAAGTGTAATTTAAATTAAGTAATTGCATATTATGTGATGTAATTTAAATAAGTACCTACTAACATACTTGATAAGTCTTACTAACAAATTATGGATACTTTTTCTGAAATAAAGTATTATTATTATTTATTCTGAAAAAAAATCAAACATCCTCATCTGCAGACTTCAACGACGAAAATGTCATTATAACCCACATCTGCGGCATTCCTGGTCCATAGCAGTTGTAGTGCCACTGACAGTTTTAAATCGCAAAGAGGGACACTGCCACTGCACTTGTCACCTGTAAGTTAACAAGTCCTATGTGCCTGTAATTGTACCACCATATTGTTATACATAAAACTGGAATTTAATAATAATAACACAATGATTCAATGATAGCCTGAATTATTCTAACATGACACACAGTATAGAGGTAGATTACTCTCGATAATGGACAATTTTACACTATTTAATAACATCTTATATTTTAATAAATATCGTTACAAATTCTGATAGGTATAGGATAAACATTTGCTGCGTTTTAAAGAATTTGACACTGAAATAGCTAATTATCTTACACTTATTATATTTTAACAAAGAACTATACCTATATAGTATATTATTTTCTGACTATAATGTAAATTTGGTGTTATAAGTTTTGATGATAAAATGATGTGGGAATTTGTTAATCATTTTTAGGGAAAATGTCCTTTGCCGTATACCGTGTGTTAGTCGTTAATACGAGGTGATGTTGCAGTGATTACGCAAAGTTTCAGTTCACTCTAGCTGGGATCAAATTCATCAACCCAAACCTTCATTTTATTCATTCCAAATCCCATTTCAATTAATACGTACTTTACAAAATGACGCGTTTGGTTCAAGAACATAACATGGTTGCTTCCTTCGTTGGTGTTAATTCGTACTACGTTTCGTCAGTTTTCATCGAAATGAGCCAAAACCAACAATAATAATTTTGATTCATTCATTTTTATCCTACGTCGATATATCGTTCATTTGGCACTAATAAGAGAGGAGTTGAATTCGAATTGATTTTTTAATTTTATTTCAAATTCATGATGTGTTAATAAAATGTTGACGTGTTAACTTAAAAATTAAATATTTATTATGTGCGTTTGCGTCAATTTAGCACCAAATGCCCGATATGTATATATGAATTTCGTTTAATTCTTGTTTTCCTGGAATTCATTCGTAAAATCATCGGTCTGAAATAAATTTATGCATTTTGCACTAACAAGTAATTAATAAAAATTCTATTTTCATAATAAATTTTCAATAAAATCTTCATTATGGACTGTTAAATCCGCATCGTAAAAGGTCTAATAGGTATTATAACAACTCAATTGTTTTTTGGACTATACATACATATGTAAATATTTCATTGTATGCGAATTAACTTTAAGGAAACGGTAAGTCAATATATCACATCCAGTATACTTATAACCAGAAATAGTGACAAAATAAGGGCCATTCATCACTGGCAACTCATCAAGCAAATGGGCCTTATATCACGTTTAAATATCAACTCTCGTTTGCGCTGAAATCACTAATTAGAAAGCTGAAATAGTACAGCGCCAACAATTGATCTGTGTGTATGTCTGCGTATATTTCAAGAATATTCTGTATACAATAATGTATCAAAGGTAATATCTAACAACGGGGGGCTGTTCCATTCGGTGGTGTGGGAAAAACAGCTGAACATCTAATTGCAAAAGAAACGGAACCACATTTCATCTGTAATTAAATATGTATTTTTTCCATTTTCGTCCATTATGGCAATTTGGATTCGGGCGGATTGTGATTTGGCAGAATAGTTTTCAAACAAATTAAAAGACATTTCGTCTCTATGTCTGGCTGTATATCCGATGATATGTCATTATAATCTGTAGGTTTGAATGCAAACATGACTTGAATAATACTTAAGATGAAATAATACACACTAACCGCTAGCTGCGACAATGAGCGCTCGGATGGAGCATGTCATCTCCCTTATTGTTCGATGCGGATTTTGCTACGCAGACGCTTCAAACGCGTCGTCATAAGCTTTAGACGTATGAATAGCGTTCGAAGGCAAGTGGTGCATTAAAGCGTGCAAAAGGAAATCCGCTTAACAATAAAAAGGCCCTGAAAATTATTTGTTCTATTATGGCAGGCTGTATCGCACCGACTTGTGTAAAAATCATTAAGACTATGTTTTAGCAACCACCAGCAATAACTTTACGATAGAATGAGCTTATTGCTCATGCAATAATTTTCTACAAGTAATATTTTTGTTCACTATTCGTCTTTCTCTAAGCTTCTATACGAATGTACATCAGAATTACACTAGTGTTTAATTTCAAAATTATTATATTCATTAACACTTTTTTCAAGTTTGTACTGCAATTAACTGCAAATGGCATGTATTTATTATTAATTAAATTAACTTCCTTCATATTAATTGGAGAAGATACAAGTCGAAAGTTAAAAGTGTGAAGAGAATCTCGAAAGTTTAGTGAGTTAATGGTATTTATAGTTACGGTTTTTTTAATAATACTTCTTTGGTACTTCTTTGGTTTTCTTTGGACTTCTCTGAAATATATATGTATTTGTGAGGCGATCAAATCAAAGAGGGTCATGTCAACTTGGTCTGCTAACATGTGAATGACTATTTTGTCTGCTAAATAAAAACGCAGTAAAGCATGTATAGGTACAAATTTAGGACGCTTTCTTAGAGCAGGGCGATAAACTTCTTAATTAACTAATTACACTTGCTTAGATATCAGAGAGATGAACTTTTCGCGTAAAATATAACTCAAGTATTAATTACATGTAAAACTTATGATTAAAAGTATGTTATTACACTTATCCCCTATCCGAGCCTTTCCCTAGAGAATCTACTCACATATATTATCACTGTTTTTATTACACCATCACTTCGAAACATATGTATATTATATTTATCATTAAGTTTATGAATATATACTTGCACGCATTGGCGTTATGTTCAGGAATGTAAGAAGTTATAATGTGAAATTTGTATCATAGCTTCTCTATTAAGTAGTTTTAGCGAAAAAATTTAATCTAATTCTTAAGTTACAATACTTTCGCGATACAGGGCGGATGTTATTGTTGCAGAAATACAATATTAAATTTAATTTTGAGATATTGTTCCAAAAGAGGAGTACATACAACACATCTCTCTCCCATTGAGGTAGGTAGATATTACAGACCTCCACCCGCTACATTCCTGACATTGTATGTCTTTCATTTCCTCCATTCGCATCAGTCTTTCGATACACGCCTTTTTTACTACTTTTGATCAGGCCCAAAGAGAATTTAAAGCGGGTAATCTGCAGAGGTTAAAACAAAATAATTAGTGAGCGTGTAGTTCTTTTTACTAAAGCACTTACTTTGAATACGAATAACGAAAGCTAACAAATGCGCTCAGGGGGAAAAGATGCATATTTCAGCAGGGAAATTCTTTGAACTATGTCTGAAAGTTGTCGCTTCACCACAGCTGCGCAGGCAACGAGCGAGCGCAAGCTACGCGTGCGGAACATCGAAACGTGGGCAAGTTTAAATCCGATTTAGTATATTACGGCAGGTAATGGACGCTTTCACCTCTCATTTACCCTTTTCACCTGTATTTTGTAATCATTTTTTGTGCGTATTCGGAATTGAAGAGCTATTAAATTCAACATTTACATCGAGGAACATTGAAATAAATACTCCTTTGACTTTTAAGACTGAAATGGATACACCGGGTCCATAAAAGTGCTGTAGAAGTAAACATGATAGCTCCTTTATTTTACAACGAGAGTTATTTGTTAATTACATTTAATATAACCTAACGAATAATATGAAAATCTTTGTATCATTTTTGTAATTACTTTGTTTTTCCAAACAAGATTATAAGATAAGCAACTTCGTCATACTGGATGACGAATATAAAATTGTTCTTATCGTCTGTCGCAATTATTTGGTCATGAGTAATTTATGAACGTGTTCAAACATGAGGGCGGCGAACTAACATGTTTTTTTAGAATAGTTGAAAATTTCTGAAAAAAAGGAAACAAAAGGAAAGGAAGACTTGCATTTCTGACATTGCTAATTAGGTTAAGCGTACAACGACGCACCATTCTGTATTCTCTCGTGAAACGTGTTTATGGTAGGTACTTACTTATTGATAAGTTTGTTCGACTACGAGCGCGAAGTAATTAAGTTTCTGGGAAACTTGGGACGACTAATTGGATCCTGCTTACCGCTGAATTTGACATGAAGTAGATCATTTAATTTCTTACCATTTACGTAGAATATGAAATATGCAATTAACGTATAAATTGATTTTGAGTTACAACTTGCAAGTGAAAAGTAATCTAAGAGATGACGCAAGAGTTGCGTTTGCTACTGTGTCGTTCTCTGATTTGTTGGAGGTGCGCGAGCTGCGCGGGCGATGGGACGTGGGCCTGATGGGATGGAGTGGTGGTTCCCGGGGTTCCTGGGGCCCCCTGAGGCCCTGTCGGTAGAGACTGTCGCCTCCGACGACGCAGTGCGGGGGAGAGATTGTACTTGACCTGGTAACAAAATAGATAGAGTTGATTTATTATATACAATTGTTTTTCGTTGGAAAAAGGAAATCCTCATCGATGCCATAAATTCGGACTAGATGATATGGTATGTCTGACGTCAGGAAGTGTACCCAATGACCTACAAATCAAAACTTCCCCGTAAATTACTAACTCACCCATGGACTCAGGACGTACGGACGTACTTTGTTTTTATTTTCTCTCCTTTTTGTTTAAAAATCATTGACTTACAAATAAATGGACGACGGGTCTAATACAAAAACCACGAAAAAATGTCCCAAGTCAACCTATTTAAACGTAGGGATGTAAAGGAATATGAAAAAGCTAAAACGTTGAATTTAAATTGTAATGTCATCGCAGTACAGTGTCTAATTTTGCTTGCTTCGCTGTCAGTCGAACAAACGAAGACTAAAGCGTGAATAACGCTCTGTATACGATTTTAACGCCCTATAAGTTCGGACACTTTTTAGCGCGGACCCGACGTCCATATAATTGTAAGTCAATGTTAACAATTTCGTTTTCGTTTCGTTCCACGCATTCGTTCGATAGCACTACAATGTAACTAAAACAATTTACGTAGATTAGTAAATTGTTTTAGTTACATTGTAGTGCTACATTGTATAGTGACTCCATTATTTTATACTCTTCTAGATATATTTTTCTGTAAAATGAATGTAAAAGGATTATAAATAACGCTTGGTTAACAATTCCTTGTAGCAAAAGTTCAGCACACTCGTGACGCATCAATTAACTTTAGAGTACTTCATACGCGTTTAGATATCTGATTGCCAAATCGCTATTTATCTGCCATCTACAGGTTGTAATCCATAATTCTTTTAGTATTAGCTCTACAATAGAGTCTTCCTCTTTACGATCTGTATAATACACCGCTGCCGGTGCGTTGCAAGATCGCCGCACGACGCCATTACCGCATGAGCGATACTGCTGTGAAGTCGATATTTTTCTGCCGTGGTTCGCACGATCACCACTGACTGAAACGTCAAACCAAAAGTCTCAAGTATTGTGAAGGTGCGCGAGTTCACCCCGTCTTCTTATCCCTGGCTGATCGGGAATTCCATATCTGCTTGGCCGTGTGTTACGCACCTTATGATATTTTGTGTATTTACTTACATGCTTCAACATTATAGAGCGAAACCGAGGTGACTTTTTTATATAAAATAAAAATGCGCATTCAAATTAATATATTTGTGCTGGAAATTGACGATGAGGTCGACGATGAGCATGTACTCCTAAATAATGCCTATTCACTCTCGCCTTGAAAAGGCCCAAGCTATAACGTTCCGGGAATAAGTCGGCAGGCAGGAAATTTCTCTCCAAAGCCGTTCGCCATGTAAATGTGAACTGGAATGAATATATGCCACTGTAGATCTTGTGATACGCCACATGTTTTTGTAATAAGTGCGTGCACACCCAACTAAGAATTGGTGATAAAAATAAGCTCTATAACGGCTGTTTACTAGTTCCATTAAACACCTATAGCTGTAGTATGACCTAAAATTTAGCAATAGAACACGCTATTAATCTCTCATAGTCATAACACTGTTAAAGAGCGATAGCGTTAACACACGTTAATTGGCACTTCAAACGAGCATTCAGTGTTGAAATCAACCTGCGGCTACAGCAATTGCTGCAACAACAACTTGTAACGAGGTAGCTTATAGCACCACTATACAGCTTTATGCTGTTACTTTTTTCTTATTTCTAATTGTATTAAAGTGATTTAATACTTTACAATCATCAGTTGATTAATATATTCATTTATCTCTATAGTGCCACCAAAAACTATTATTGTAGGCCTTGTAAAGCTACTATATGAGTTAAAGCTCTAAAATTTGTTTGTTTGTTGGGCAGCAGGTCGTGATCGTCCTTTCTCGCTGTGTTTGAATCGGATGTAGTTCAGGCTGAAGAGGTCGTGTCGGCCTCACTCGCATTTGTTATTCAATTTATTATTTACGGAATTAGTGTGGCTCACAAAATTAACGATAGTTGCTATGCACTGAATTCGCTAGTCAATATGTACTTTCTAATAGTCTTCATTAAAATTTGTACAGTACAAATTCGCACTTTTATGTATTACAAAGGCTTCATATCATTAGCTCTCAACAGTATAAGGCTTTGAATACAAGTACTAAATTACAGCAGTATTAAAGTAACTTGCCAGCTCACCCGATCAACCCTCTTAAAGCATTACTACCCCAAACCTTTTCCACGCCAAACACCACAAATATACATAAATCATAAAAACCATTTTCTCTTTGAAGCAAAAAGGTGTTTGTTTACAGTTCGAAGATAAAAGTAACGAAACAAGTCGAGAGCATTTTTGTACCTTTAGGCATTGATTTTGTAAACAAAGATGTATAGTGTTTGTTGTGTTTAAATGAAATACGAAAATAGAATCATCATCGTTAACCCTCTAAGTCAATAATTACAACTTTTTATGTAAAAGTTTGTTTACCCGTTTTTGGCGTGTTCCTTACTTAACGATACCTGAAATGCATTTGTAAGGCCTCGTCAATACGAGTCATATGATCCCAAACACAAGGTAGCTGCTGTACATGAGTTCCTCGCATCTGTCTGCCATAATAATAATAATAATAACGCATACACTCAACATAGCCCAGCACAACCATAAATTACACCCAAACTCACGAGAGAAATAAATGTAGGCCATACTAATATTTCTCTCGGCCCGGAAATCGAACCTGGGACCTCAGCGCGGCAATCCGGCATGGTAACCGTTCAGCCACAGAGGCATAATATTTTGATTGGAATGACGTAGCTACCTGCGTGGCTGAACGGTTACCATGTTACCGTTTTTATAATGGGGGAGTGCTCTGAGGATATTTTCGAACTGGTGCCACCGTCTCGTTTCTACCATCGCACCTCCCGTCAAAGAAGTAGAGTCTATCCCCACATCTTAGATGCCTGGCATTGTAAGACCACACGGGCATCTTGTTCGTTCCTTCCTCGAACCTGCAAGATGTGGAATGATCTTCCTCCTGAAGTGTTCCCTTTGCGCTATGACATGGGGTTCTTCAAAAAGCGTGTTTACAGGGCTCTCAAAGGCTGGTAACGCATAGGCAGCTCATCTGATGTTGCAAATGTCCATGGGCGACGATGACCACCTCCCATCAAGTGGCTCGTTCGGCTCGTTTGCCTCCTTCTTTACATTAAAAAAAAAATGCTGGACTGCCACGCAGAGTATTGTGGGTCATTTTAGTATGAAATTTTTTTTGTTTTTTGTATTCTAATAGCACTAAAAACTTGCCAAATGGTAAATTACAACTAAATACTATTTTACTGTTTTATCGTCATTGACGAATGTTTTCTGCTTCCGGATTGATGTTTTAAACTCATGAACATCTAAAAAAATTAGGAATGGATTTTTGGAAAAAAAATATTGTTATGTATTTATTATTTAAAATTTTTGATTCAGTCTAGTAAAACACAATGATCGAAAACTAAAAACAATTAAAATGATTATTTTTAACAAACAACTTCACTTTACACTAAGGGTCGTATTCCAGAACTCTACTCAATGCTCAAGTCAGGATTTGAGCAGACTTGAGTATGATTTCAAGCACTGGAAATACGACCCTAATGGCAGGGACTTGAGTATCATTTCGAGTGCTTTAAACCATACTCAAATCCTGACTTGAGCATTGAGTAGAGTTCTAGAATACGACCCTAACTCACTTTTTAAACTGTTAAAATCCTTCTTACTATCAAACTTGGGTATGATTTTGCGTGACTCAATTTTAGCCTCAAGAAAACCTTCATGAGCTTTTTTTGTACACAATGTTCCTGAAGCTTCAGTTACTGTTCAACAGCCTTAGTGTGGCAAGGTAGACGAGAAAATCAATTTGATTTTCTCGCCTTTGTCAAATAAAGGTTTGTAACTCTTTGTTTGTGATATGTTTCAGAATCGGGGGTTCTGTTACACTTTTTTGCCAATCAATGAGATCATAATAAATATTAGCATTCATATTTACATCTGGTACTAGAAATAGCCTTACCGAATTGCAATTTTCAACACGCGCTTTCAGGATGCGACGCAAAGCTACTTCTTTTACATGATTTTCTGAGTCTGCCAGCATTGCAAGTAATAAATTTTCAAGACGGCCAAAGAAACTATTCCACTTTATTACAGGATCAACCACAGTCTTCAACTCGGCTGGTAAATATCGAGACCTTGAAATTAGTTGACATAAATGTCTTGCTCCGTCTTTGCATGTCGGATGACTTTTAATGTGAAACCATGTTGGAGCATATACTTTAACAATATAAGTTGCTAAAGTTATAAGTTTATCAGATTCGGCTGTTGTTGCAACGTACTCGTAATTCGAAGAATACGATTTACTCGAGTAAGCCACCGCGCATGAGACATCTTTCCAGGAGATTTGTTTGAAAGATCTATTGAACATTCTCCAGATATAACTGCTGATACTATTCGGTGCAAATAAACTTGATCAGATAAGTTCTGAACCTTTTACATTAATTGGCGGCAGTTCTCATGGAATATTTTGAAATGACACCACGGGTTTCTCTTAACAATTTTCTAAAGCTTTTCCAATGAATCCCATAAAACTATGCGGATCTGTAGTATTACCGTCTAAATAGGTAAAAAGATGACGTAATTGTAATTCATTCATGTGTAGTAGACAAATAATCCATTGTAGTGGTCTAGCTAATTCTTTTTCAAGTAAACATATTATTCCTCCCAATTTTCCAATATTAACATTTGTGCCGTCACAACCGATAGCCATCAAATGATCCAAAGATATGTCATTTGATTTGAAAAAATTGATAATTTCCTTTTGGATGAGTTTAGCAGTACCAGCAGAAGGAGAAATATACCCTAAGAACTTGGTGTCTGGCTCACGAATCAAAGGTATGTGCTCTTCCAAAATTATTTCTTTGTAATATTTCTCACCCTTTTTCCTGGTAACTAATGTTTTATCTTCCGGCCATCGAAGTACAGTGCATTTACTGGCCAAATTTCTCTATTTTTCACAAGATTTTCGCGGGCTTCCTTTCGCTCTCTTCTGAGCTTGTTTTTGTCAATTATAGACTTTTGTGACTCCTGTAAAACCACTGAAGCAATTGCAGCGGCTGCTCTGTCGGAAACTCCATAGCAGTTGCAAGTTTGAGATAACATAGAAAAATTCATCGTTGATTGTGCCTGTTGTTTCTTAAAGGTATGACCGCGGGTGACACAATCAACGCTATCACTGGAAGTATCTGATAATGACGAAGATGTATTTAGAGATATTGTAGACGTGGTAATGTTGCCTCAGCATTACTTTCAGCTCGAACAATACTTGAACTTTCCCTTTTCAATTTTCTTTTTATACTCTTTTGGATTTTCCTTGTTGTAGAAAACTACTACTACTACTTGTTGTAAAAATGATGAAACAAACAAGGAAACACAGATAAAAATCTGTGTTTCCAATCATCATTTTTCTTGCAGTCCTTTGGTTAGAAAGAAAGCTTCGCTCATTAAGTGGGACTTTTCTATTTTTAGGACAAATGCATTTGGCATAATCAGAGCATTTATATGATGAAATATCAAAAAGTAGTTTGGCAGAAGAAAGAAAATTTTCTAACCTTTTCTTAGGTATTTTAGGGTAGGATTTTAACAAACTTTTACACTTTTGATGATATACTTCCAACATCTGTGTAATTCTTGTATGGGAAACAGTCGGCAACAAAGTTTTTTTCCACACATTTTCCACACAACAGTCACTATTTCTGTTAATTTTGTTTACAAAATGTTCTTATATTTATTTTCTGGTATAATTTTGATACAAAACTTTGACAAAATACAAAGTAAAGTTTGTTTTAGTGCTTAAAGATTTGTTATAAAACTTCACCAAAAAAGACTAAAAATCATTATTTCATAGTCAATCCGGAGGCTGTTGTATTAGGGGTTAA